ACCCACTGTCCAACCCCATGAGCAACAAGGCTAGGGAGCCTTTCTCCCCTAAGACTACGAAGCAAGAATCATGCTTCCCAGAGAAACAGAATGTGTACATTTTATAGACGGAGATGGAAGAGAGGATATTGAGTAAAATATCTACCCTGTTTGGTTTTTCTAGCAGGGCTGCAGGCAGTGAGGTACACGAGTAAGCGGACGGTCTGGTGGGAAGGCCTGCTCACCAGCAAGGAGCCTTGGTGTTGGAAGGGGCACCAGGCCCTGCCTCTTCTCAGTTGTTATGAATTGGGGGCTTGAAGTCTAGTCTCTACCACCTGAGCCATCTCTAGCCTTGCTTTTTTCCCTCCTATTTGAGGATGGAGTCTAGTGACTGTTTCTGCCTGGGCTGGCCTCAAATCTCAGTCCTCCAGATGTTAGCCTCCTGAGAAGCTAGGATTACAGGGAGCAGGGATGCAGGACACGGTGTAAAGGAGATACAGGCGATCACCAGGAGGAGGATGCTTTTGGTAGCTCTGGACTCGGGAGAGGCTCTGGTGGAGACACTGGTCCTCTGTATGTGTCGCATTCTCTGCTTGTGTCTGTATAGGACGAAGAGCATGGAGGTGCTAGCCCAGAGCCTGAGCCCCAGACACAGAACATCAGGAAAACCACAGGAGCGCGACTCCGAGCCAGTCTAAGACTCATCTGCCTGACCAACAGCAGAACAGGATCCAAAGCCTTTTGTGTTTGTGATGCGTGTGTTGTTCAACTTGACAGAGAGAGGAGGGCACAAGAAAATAGAGGTACCCGTGTTGCTAAGAGCTGTGCCTGCCTGTAATCTACTCTGGAGGCCCATGCTCCCTGACGGATACACCTCTGCCATCCCGGAAACAGAGACGGAGAGTCAGCACCTGTAATACCACTGTGCCCACCTTGGGTCCTCAGCTCCACCCAGACCTGGCTCCTCCCTACCCTGTAATTCCTGCCCTACAGCTGGCCACTCACTCTCTCCACCCAGACCCACCTGAGCTCCCACCTACCTTCCTTCCTATCCCCAGACTTGCATAAGGATGGGCGCCATGTGCTCCCTCTCCTGGGAAACATGGCCCCTAGAATAATCTTTCTCCTGTGCCTGCCTGCCTCCGGGTGGTCCCCTGGGATGGACGTGAAGGATCCTTTCAGCACCCACAAATCAGTGATGACATGATGCCCCCTAAAGATGCCTCCGTCCTCTATGAGAGATGCTAGCATGCTAGGGAGTTCTCACAAGAAAATGCCCAATAGTGGGCTGCCAGCAGTGGCTCCCTAGCCAGATCTGTGCCCTCAGTGAAACCAGGGAACACAACACTGCAGAGAAGAGAGAGATCTCACGGATTCTGCTTGCAGTCTGTGACAGGCAGATGGTACAGCTGCCACGCTCCAGCGGTCATGAGCTTAGTCCTCTGTTATTGGCTGTTGTCTTCTGCATGGGAACTACTCAGGACAGAGGAGAGGGAAACAAGGTATAGGGACCCTACAGCACACACAAGAGAAATTCATTCATCTGCTCCCCTTTAGATTAAGGGACCAGAGTCGTGTAGGGGGAAATGAGGCCCGGTGGAGGCAACTCCGAGACATTGGTATTGAGAAACACAGGAGCCCTAGCTTTGCTTCAGAGAGAGAAGCAACAGGTGTACTGCCTTCGTGGGAGTTGCATTTCTCACCTTCAAGAATTAACATTTGTCTGGCAGGATGTATGCCTTCCTGAGAAAAATCCCCCCAAATGTAAGCCACTTCCTGACCCAAATGCAGATCACAGGGCACCTCCTTACCTCAAGGATAAGGATCTGTTTCCTGGCAGGATGCTTTCTTTCCTGGAAAGAATGGCTCAAACATCCAGAAACTCAGAAAGCATAACACCAGGAGTAGTTAGAGCAAAGATGAAACACCTAACTTTGTATAAGACCCCCTGCCTTCACCACAGAAATACTTGTGGCCCAAGAGCTGTGTTTCTTCTCTACAGCACCCACACTTCATTAGAATGTGCTTGTGCTCTTTTCTATTTGTCGGCTTGCTTACGTACTCAATAAAGCGCCGCCTAGTTTTCTTACAACTGTGACTTGTAAAGAAATTCTTATTCTGTGATCAAAGTCAAGGACCCTAAGTGAAGAGTCTCTACTTTTAGGGGGAAACTTCACAGAACCTTCACCTGCATTCAGTGACAGGAATACAGGGAAGGGGCTACCAGAACCCTCCCCAAACCCAACCCAACCCATATTCTCTTATAGCACAATTTCTCCTAGAGAATCTTTCCCATGACATGGAGGATTCTGATAAATGAGGATTACAATCATTTATAGTTACGGAATTGTACCTGCGACCGACCGTGCCAGCAGGAACTCGCCCAAAGGAAGACTGAAGCTGGATTGATTTGCACCCCATGAAAGTTTCTCCTCCTTCAGCCATGAGGCCTGCGGCCGTTTCTATTGCCGCCTGCTGACCGGCAACATGCATTGCAGGCTGCCCTCATCCAATCCTGTGTCCTGGCTGGCCCACTAGGGGAGAGCTGTCCCAGGTTCTGATTCCTGCTTCAGGCTCTGCTTTCTGCACCAGGAGTTGGCATCCTTGGAGACTTGGGGGCCTAGGGCCCTACAAAGAAGCACATGAAAAGCCGGGCACAGGTAGCTCATGCCTGTAATCTCAGGAGGCTGAGATCTGAGGGTCGAAGTTCAAAGCCAACCCTGGGTAAGAAAGTCTGTGAGACTCTTATCTCCAATAAATCACTAGAAAACCAGAAGTGGTAGCCAGGCCCAGAGTTCAAGCCCCATGACTGACCAAAAAAAAAAAAAAAAAAAAAGAAGCACATGAAAGGGTAGCCCTTGAGCTGGGTGCCGGTGGCTCACACTGTCATCCTAGAAACCCAGGAGACTGAGATCGGAGCACTCCAGTTTGAAGACAACCTAAGCCAGAAAGTCTATGAGACTCTGTCTCCAAGGAGCCACCCCAAAGCTGGAGCTGGAGGTATGGCCCAAATGGTAGAGCACCAGCCTTGAATAAACAAAATGATCATGAGCATAAGGTCCTGAGTTCCAGCCAGCCATACACACACACACACACACACACACACACACACACACACACTTATTCTCTAGATAGTAGAAGAAAGAAAGAAAGGTCCTGCCGATCTAGGAGGCAGAAATAGAGTCACCAGGAGGGTCTGGCTTGGGCTTATCCACAGGTGCTCAGTGCTTTCAGGAAAAAGCAGCAGCTCTCTGTGTTTGGGAGCAGGGTGCATTTCAGAGCTGAGCCCAGGCCTACACCCCGCAGCAGTGGAAGAAAGAGCACTTTGGAGTGGAAGGTAGACATAAAAGGGAAGTAAGCCCTGCTCCATCTCCTGTCGTTTGGTCCAGAATATTACACGTGCACCTCCAAGCCCACTCCATCCCTTCCCTCTCCTTCACTTCCATCCTCCACATGGCAAACATTTGGGGGTGACAACTCTGTCCCCTATGTAACCCAAGGATCAGACAGATCTAGCTTTACTCTGTAGAGAGTTCCGATTTCAACCTCACCAACTTAACAGCCTTGAGAATCCAGAGATATACCATCATTTTTGGCTAGTAACCAGGGTTCACAGTCTGGATCTATTATGCTTTCTACTCAGGCTTCTTCATTGAACAACTGGTCTTTGTGTTATGTCAGCTCTCAGTGTTACACCACCCACCAGAGAGAAAAGGCTCGGTGAATAGTCTTTTCTTTGTTAAAGCTACAAGATGGCTGACATGCAGAGAGAGAGATGCTTTCCAATCTCCTGTGGAGGGACAGCCTAATAACTGCACAGTAATTCTCTCTTCTTTCTTCCAATTCTGTCTGCCACTGCCTGCCTATTCAGTCCCTTGCTCTGATATATTATATTGCTCTTCTCTCTCCTGGTCCAGCTTGCCCACAGTATCACATAACTATATCTGGATGGATGGATGGATGGATAGATATTTCAGTGCTCTGGATTGAACCCAGGGCCTCTCAGGAGTGAGGAACAAAGGACTTGGTTATCAGGACAGCAGGCATCTGGATGAGCTGGGGAAAATGGTATTTCTCTGAGTGTTGTAGACCTGCTCTTTGTGTCTGTACGGGATGAAAGCCATGGAGTCACAGGCCCAGAGGACGAGTTGTGGGCATAAGGTATTAGGAGAAGCTTACAGATCTGAAACGGAGATGGCCTGGCTTCCTCAGTAACTGTGAAGCCATGTTGTGACAAGTGTGCTGCTCCATGACCTAGGCACACACACAAATAAAACTACATTCTCCAGGATATTTGGGACCCAGCACAAGGTGTTGCAGACCTTAAAAAAAAAATGGGAGCGGTTAGCTGGGTGCTGGCTCCCGTCTGTCATCTGAGCTCCTCAGGAGGCGGAGATCTGAGGATTGCGGTTCGAAGACAGCCCAGGCAGGAAAGGCCATGAGACTCTCATCTGCAATGAACCTGCAAAAAGCCGAAGTGGCGCTGTGGCTCAGGTGGCAGGGCATCAGCCCAGGCTCTGAATTGGAGCCCAGGGCTGGTGCACGAGTATGCCACTTCTCCGGGCCTCCTCCCGCACAGAGGCGGCGGGAATCTGGCGGAACCTCGTCCGTACAAGCCAGACCCTGCAGGTTGGCCCGGTCCCCGCATGACGTCACCCCTTACGAGCGATCCCGCGCCGGATCGGCCCAAGGGCAAGGCTTCGTCTTATCCCGCTCCCGACCTTGATTGGGCCGCAATGGCTGCCCGTTTTAGCCGTAGTTAGTAGCAACGTGGGCGGGTGCAGTCTTGGTCGCTAAGATACTCGGCACTTCCGCTTCCTCTCCACTCCCTCCTAACCCCGACTCCGGCAAGCCAATGTCGTTCTTTCCACCAATGGTAAAAGGACGGTGGGCGGGACTTCACTCGTCCGGACCAAAGAAATGCTGCCGTGGCGGTAGCGCGGCCAATGAGTGTGGGGCAGCCCCTGTAGAGTGGCTAGGGCGTCCCCACGCCCGCCTTTCCTCCTCCTCCGCGCCCTGCCCCTCCCGACCCGGGCTTCAGCACAGCGCTGGCCGCAGTCTGACAGGAACGGGACGGAGCCAAGATGGCGGCGGCCGACGGCGACGACTCGCTTTACCCCATTGCGGTGCTCATAGACGAGCTCCGCAATGAGGATGTTCAGGTCTGGAGACTAGTGGGGTCATGGGGGAAGATGGAAAAAGCGAGAGCCGGGTGGGGGCTGGAACGGCCCTCGCGGGGGAGAGCTCTGCGTTCGCTGGGAGGGGCGGAAGTGGGCGGCGGCCAATCAGCGTCCGTCTCTCATCTCTTATGGTCGCTAGGCTGCCTGAGACGGCGTCCCGGATTGGGTGTTGGTTCAGCGGAGGGCGGGGTCGGCCTCGAGGGTCCCGGGCCTGGCGGGTCCGCGCGGCGGCCCGGGATCTGGGACTGGGGACGGCGGCCTCCCTGACGGGGGTCGGCGACCGGGGTTGGGGGCGGCCGAGGGCCGGGTGATTGGCAGCAGGCCTTGAGTGGTCCCTGGGAGACGGGGAGGACGCGTGGTGTGGCCGCGCGTGGGGAGGGGTCCTGCGGTGTGTGTGTGTGTGTGTGTGTGTGGTCTTGTGCGGAGGCCGGGGCCGCCACAGTCCCTCCCGTGCTGGGTGGGTCCCTCGTTGGGAGGGGGACGTGATTCCCTCCCGAGGGGAGAACCGGCTACCTTTGGGGGCCAATCTGTACGGGGCGTTTAGTTACGTCGACGGCTGCGAGGTGCCGCGGGGGGCTTCGAACCGGGGCTCGGCCCGCGGGTCCCGGCCCGCCGGCCCGGCCCGGCGCCCGGGGATTGGGCGCGGCAGTTCGTCCCGGGCGGCTCTTTCCCATGAAGTCTGGGGCTCGTGATGGCGGCTCCCCTGGCTGGTTGGGGAACTGAGGCCGCTTCGGGGGTCCAGGCCCTACCGGGGGGCGCCTTACACGTTGGCCGGCACTACCAGGAGCGGCCCCTGCCCTCCCTTCAGGCCTCAGTTTACCTCGATGTAAGACCGCGCAGAAGAGAGCCCAGCCTCGTGGATCGGGGGTAGATGACTCTGGTTCTGTTATTTGGGCCTGGGCCCCCCGTTAGGCGTCACCCCAACTTCTGGGCACCTGGAGTGAAATGAGGGACGATGGGCGAAGCACAGGTCCAATGCAGCCAAAGTAAAGGGAGGAGAAGGCGGAGGTCCGCGCCGCAGAGGGGTCAGGATTTGAGGCCGATGGGGGTGGTCTCTCCTTCAAAAGACGTCTGTCTGTCCTGACAGGCCGTGTCGGGGTTGAGGGGGGCTGCGGAGCCCTGCCCCACCATCCCACTGCCGCATCATTACCCCTGCTCCCCTGCGGCAGCATAGGGATTGGAGAAACGAGGCCTCAGTACAGTCCTGGGACTCCGTGTTCATCATCCATTCCAACCCTGGGATGTACACAGAAAACAGCCAGTCGATGCTAGCTGCTCTGAGGACTGGCATGACAATTATGGTGATGGTGATGGTCCATGCCACAGAGAGGAGCACACGGAGACCTCACCTGAAGACAAAGCAGGGAACATAGACACCTAGGTCAGTGCTCCCCAAAATGTTTTCTTAGGAAACATTTCAGACTCAAGAGCACTGTACGATTAGTGCAGGGGTCAAAAAAGCACAACCCAGGCCAGATTCAGCCTTTGCTGCTTTTGCAAATCATATCAGTTTGTTTACATAACATCTGGCTCCTGGGGTGCTGGAAAGCCAGCTGAGTGGTCAGACTGACTGCCAGTCTGAAGCTGAGAGTGGTTACAGCTCCTCTCTAGCACAGTCCACACACCTGCCGTTCACTACCCACCCAGCGGAGTTGGCTTGTATCTTTCTGGAGGTCGTTGCCTATTTTAGTTTGGACTTAAAGTAAGTTTTGAGTCTGTGAGTCTTTCATGCTGCAGTTCTTTTACTGCCTGAAACTTAGTCAATAAGGCCCAGAGAAAATTTTCAGGTGTGTATTTTTCTTTTTCTCTTCTCTCTTCCTTCCCTTTCCTTCCTCCACACCTCTTCATTACTCTTCTCTCTCATTTTATTTTATTCTTGCCAGTCATGAGGCTTGAAATCCGCCTGGGCACTGTCCATGAGCCTCTTTGTGCTCAAGTCTAGCACTCTTCCAGCACTTTCTGAGAGGTTTATTGGAGAGAAGTGTCTTACAAACTTTCCTGCCAGTGCTGGCTTCGAACCACGATCCTCAGATCTTAGCTTCCTGAGTAGCTAGGGTGACAGGCGTGAGCCACCAGTGCCCCATTTTTTTTTTTTTTTTGCTGTTTTGTTTTTTTTTAGTCAGTCCTGGGGCTTGAACTCTGGGCCAGGGCACTGTCCCCCAGCTCTTCAGCTCAAGGCTAGTGCTCTACCATTAGAGCCACAGTGTCACTTCCAGCCTTTGCTGCTTATGTGGTGCTGAGGAATCGAACCCAGGGCCTCCTGCATGCAAGGCAAACAGTCTATCACCAAGCCACCTTCCCAGCCCCTCTTTTGCTTTTTAAGACAGGGTCTCAACTCTGTAGTCCAGGCTAGCCTTGAACCTAGTATCCTTTTGCCTCAGCCTCCTCAGTGCTGGCATTTCAGGTGCACATCACTAAGCCCAGCTGCATTTTTTACCTAACTGTTCATCAGTTCCATTGTGATCCCAAAGAGATGCATAATGCCTTGATGAGAGGCTCATCTGCAGGGAAGCTCTCAGTCACTCTTCGCCTTCCCGGGGTGTGGGGCCTTCTCTTCACCTCAGTGCAGCTTCCTGGTCTGCCATGCCCTGTGGGAGGAGGCCTTCTGTGCCCACCAGGGTTAGCTGGTCTCAGTGATGTCACTCACTCAGCAGACATGATGTCATTGTGCTCCGTGCACTGGAGCAAGGCAGGAGAAGCACACAGGGGAGGGTTTGCAGTCTGCTGCAGTGGTCACAATTGGAGCCTGAGGGTTAGGACCCTGTCTACCCAGGCTGGCCTACCTAGGCAGGTGTCCCTTGCTCTCAGCTTGGTTTCTGCAGGGGAGGGAGGGTCTGGCTGCTCCTTTCTCCCTTCATGTGAACACACTACTAGAATTTGATGCACCTGTTCTCTGGGACTGCTGGGACAAATAGCCTCACCCCGTGGCTTACATTCACAGCTTCTATGGGGATCCACTCTGCGCTCCTCTCCTCACTTCAGGCCCAGTTATGGTTCTTGATTTTCTTGGGCTTATGGATGTATCCTCAGCCTCCCCCAGCCTCTGTCCCCAGGCTGTGCCCTCTGAGTACTGTGTCTTATCCAGCTGGGGTGTTTAGGAGGACACTGTGGTTGGCTTTAGGACCCACCCTCAATTCAGAGTGAATCCATCGTGGGATGTTGAAACAGTCACCCACAGACACTACTTTCCTGTTCACCAGCACTGGTTCGGGACTGGGAAATAGCTTACAGGCCATGTGTAAAGAAAAACAAAATTAGCCAGGTGCCAGTGGCTCACGTCTATAATCCTAGCTAATCAGGAGGCTGAGATCTGAGGATCACGGTTCAAAGCCAGCCCGGGCAGGAAAGTCTGTGAAACTCTTATCTCCAATAAACATTCAGAAAACTAGAAGTGGCTCTGTAGCTCAAGTGGTAGAGCACTCACCTTGAGCGGAAGAGCTGAGGGACAGTGCTCAGGCCCAGAGTTCAAGCCCTATAACCGACAAAAAAAAAAAAGAAAAAGAAAAACAAAATTCCCTGATTTTCTCCACGTTTCCACCAGAGTCAACAGAAAAGCTTTGGCCCTGAAAATTTGAGCATTTCTCCCCAATAGCAAGCAAGCATTCTTTTTTTTTTTGGGTCCAGTTGTGGGGTCTGAACTCTGGGCTTGGGCACTGCCCCTCAGCTCTTCAGCTCAAGGCTAGTGCTCTACCACTTGAGCCACAGCGCCACTTCCAGCTTTTTTCTTTTTGCTTATGTGGTGCTAGGGGATCAAACCCAGGGCCTCTTGCATGCAAGGCAAGCGCTCTACCACTGAGCCACTTTCCCAGCCCCCATTTTTTTTTTTTTTTTAAATCTGAGACTAGAACTTAAACTAGGTATCTGATGCTTTTGCTCATTGGCTGGTGCTCTACCACCAGAGCCATACCTCCTGCCCCGAGCATTTCCTTATGCAACAGCAGACACAGCCCGCCCCTCTAATTCGGTTCACTTCTCACCCTAACTTCCCCTGCTGTGGATGTGAAGGCCCAGGTTGCTTGCCTGTGTTTCTGACTCTGCCCCCACGTGGGGCTGATCGGCTCAAAGGAATCAGTACGGGGAACAAATCCTCTTGGGTTTACCATAAAGGATGCCACTGAAAAGAGATGTGTGGCAAGGCCCCGGGAGCTGCATGCCTTGTCTACACCCACTACGTTCCATGAACCCTCACATTTTTAGCTCTCTGGAAGCTCTCCAAACCCTCTCGTTTTTTTTTTTTTTTTTAATGCAGACTTCATTGGATCGGGATGACTGTGTCAAAGTGTGATCAAGCAGAAGGGGTGTGACAGGGCCAGGCTGGGGGCATAGCAGCACCTCCTCCTGCACGCTGTGGCCCTCCTGTTGGCATGTGGGGCTGGACCCTTCCCAAAACAGGTCTTGGGATGCACTGTGCGACACTGGTCTGGATTCTGCTGCGATGGCTCTGAGACAGAAAAGCTGGGTACAGTAGTTACCATGGCCCTTCTCCGAAACAAAGCTCAGGTTCTATGGCCAGCATTCCCGAGGGAATTAATGAGCCAGAAACTGTGTACCCAGAGCCACTTGTACAGTCTTGAGTTCCCGTTCACTCATGGTATTGCCCACAGCATGGCTGTGGATGCCCCTCTGTTGTCATTGTTATATTGAGAGAAGATCACACTATGTATTCCAGGCAGGTTTTGAAGTCACGATTCTTGTGCCTCAGTCTGCTGAGTACTGTAATAGGTGTGCATCAGCATACCTGACTTTTGTTTTTGTAGTAATAGTATCCTATTGTTTGTTCTCTTATTATCACCGTTAGCCACAAGTCTTGTGTTTAAATGCCTGCTCCGCCAGCCATCCTCTTACCTCTGTGAGCTGGCCAGAGGTTCCGCCTTGTGCTGCGCCTCACAGGATTGACGCTGTGAGCCAGCTTCACACCTGGTATGATTGCTTTGAGGGTTCAGTGAGGTCGCAGGTGTGTGTGCCTTGTCTAGGGCCTGGCCCAGAGCATGCATGCATGCATACTATGCAGCGGCTGCTACTAAGTGGAATATGTGGTGTAGTAGCCAGTAGTGGGCAGCGTGTGTGATCTTACGTGAACTCAGAAAGTGTGCTGTTTCTATTGAACTGTGCGGTCCAGGTCAGAGGAGGGCATGGTGGGTGTGCTGATCGTCTGCTCCCAGCACTGTGGAGCTCCCTTGAGTCTGGGATTACTGACATTCTCCCTCATTCTCTCCTCAGCTTCGCCTCAACAGCATCAAGAAGCTGTCCACCATCGCCTTGGCCCTTGGGGTGGAAAGGACACGAAGTGAACTCCTCCCCTTCCTTACAGGTGGGGACTCTTGGGGCCTAGTGCAGTAGGGGTGCCTGGAGATGGCTGCTGCTTAATAAGAGAAGCCCATGGCAGGGGCCCTGGATGATGGGGTACAGAGGCTGAGGGGCAGGTAGACAAGCTTTATGTACTGCAGGACTGTGTAGAGGGGAAGGCTGAGGAAGAGAAAGGTGGAGGCAGGATGTCCTCTCGGAAGTCTGCTGGAAGGCAGTCGCAGACCCGGAGTGAGACTCCCAGCCTGAGACCTGCCTCGGGCTCTGCCAGATAGACACACGGGGAGCATTCAGTCCGTTTAACACCTAAGTGTCAGCTGTGAGGACAGTCTCATCAGACAATGTTCTGCCTGCCTGGATGGAAAGAAATGGGGCTTGGGATGGGGGGGAATGTGGGAGCTTCAGACCAAGAGCTGCTGGGTATCCAGACACGTGGGCTCAGAGCCCCAAGGGACGTTAGGTCCCTTCTTTGGACTTGCTGCCTGGGCGCCTCTCCAGTCGCATGTGGCAGGTACCGTGTGTTTGGGAAAAGGTGGTGCTGTCCAGACAGAAAAGCAGAAGCCTCCTCCTCATGCCAGCAGAACATGCAGGATTGGTTTTGTAAGTGATTACTGCAGCATGATTGTGGGGTCGAGCAAAATGCCAGGCTGGCATCGTAAAGGACAGCAGTGTAGTGTCACGGTTCTGGAGGTGGTACTCTGAGTCCTGGGTGCTGCGCTTCCTGTGGTGAGTCCTAGGTCAGAAAGGAAGAATCCCAGAGATCGCCTGTGCCCTGGCCTGCCCTGCCCAGCCCTGAGGCCTGAGACTGTGGCTGGCTTGGCACTGTCTTCGGTGGGAGCCGGGCACAGGGGCTGGTGGTTGGGGGCAGGCTGGGGGAGGGATGGCCTGCAAAGCCTCCAGGAGGCAGTAGCTGAACCGAGTCTGAACAGAGAGAAAGGATTTTTGGCAGAGAACAGTGCTGAGAGTGTAAGCTGTACCTGAACAGGAAATCTGCTTGCCACAGTGTTGCACAGGATGGGACTCAGTCTCCCCTCCCTGAGGGGTGTAGAGTGGCCCTGTTCCCCCACACACCCCCAACTCGTATGTTGTTCTCTGTGCTGGCCATATGGGAAAACTCTGGGTACTGACAGCAAGCTTGTGCATCTTGGGGCCGGGATCCAGGGTGCCGGGGCCCCAGGGTGGGCTGTGATGGGAATGCCCTGCCCCTACAGACACCATCTACGATGAGGATGAGGTCCTCCTGGCCCTGGCTGAGCAGCTTGGAACCTTCACCGGCCTGGTGGGGGGCCCAGAGTACGTGCACTGCCTGCTGGTGAGTATAGCATGTGGGGTCCTCGCTCCCATCCCTGGATCAGAGACAGGCCCCATGGAGCAGGGTTGGGAGGGGGGCTGGGTGCTGTCCAGGGGGATGGCCTCAGGGCTGGAGGGCTGAGCAGAGCATCAGTGCCACCTGCTCCTCCCCCCGCCCCTGCAGCCCCCACTGGAGTCGCTGGCCACGGTGGAGGAGACGGTGGTGCGGGACAAGGCCGTGGAGTCCTTGCGGGCCATCTCCCATGAGCACTCGCCCTCTGACCTCGAAGCCCATTTCGTGCCCCTGGTGAAACGGCTGGCGGGGGGCGACTGGTTCACCTCCCGCACCTCGGCCTGCGGCCTCTTCTCCGTCTGCTACCCGCGAGTGTCCAGCGCTGTGAAGGCAGAGCTCCGCCAGTGAGTCCTGGGCTCCCTTGCCACCGCCTGCCCCACCGCCTCTGTCCTGTCCCCTTGGGTCAGCTCACCTGCTGGGCCTCAGGGGCAGTCCCCTCCCCCTCCATGGGTGTGTGAATGCGCAGTAACCCTACCTGCTGCTCCCTTGAGCTGCCCTGGCCGAAGGCTGCCCTCCTCCTCTTCCTCCTATCCTGAGTGAAGCCTCCAATACCCTGGGCAACAACCATAGTGCCCAAGGGTCCACGCCCTCTGATCTCTCTCGGTTCCTTGAGTTCCTCCTGCCCAGCGCCACTCTGGATCCCCAGGTACTTCAGGAACCTCTGCTCAGATGACACCCCCATGGTGCGGCGGGCCGCAGCTTCCAAGCTGGGGGAGTTCGCCAAGGTCCTAGAGCTGGACAACGTCAAGAGTGAGATCATCCCCATGTTCTCCAACCTAGCCTCTGATGAGCAGGTGGGTCCCTGCTCTGCCCTTCCTCCTCTCCCCCTGGGTTCCTGCCCCCATCCCACCACTGGCCCTCTGCCCTTATGCCCCATGGGCACTCAGCACCCCTTCTGCTCCCCAGGACTCCGTGCGGCTGCTGGCGGTGGAGGCGTGTGTGAACATCGCCCAGCTCCTGCCCCAGGAGGACCTGGAGGCCCTAGTGATGCCCACACTGCGCCAGGCGGCCGAGGACAAGTCCTGGCGCGTCCGCTACATGGTGGCCGACAAGTTCACTGAGGTGTGTGAGGCCTGCAGTGCATAGGCAGGGCCAAGGCTGAAGGGAAGAGGGACACTTGTCTGTCCTGCATGGGAGCGGGCAGCCTGACGTCCATGGGCAGAGAAGCCAGGACTGGATCTTGGCAGGGTCAGGAGTGCACATTCACACTGGGAAGCTGTCACTCGCCCTGATTTGTATATGGCAGGGCCCAGGAAAGGTGGGAAAGTCAAGCTCTCTGTCCTGGGCTCCAAGCGAGACTCTTGTCCTGCCTAGGAGTAGAAGCTGCAGACAGACAAGGAGCTGAGATAGAAACAGGGCTGCTCACCAGCACTCCATACCAGTTACATTGATAAAAGAGCATGAGGCCCTTGGAGGGCTACCCTTGTGTGTGCGTTAGTATGGACCCATCAGTTCTGGTGATGGTCAGGAGCAAGCATAAGGCATCTCTGGCAACCAAGAAAACCCAGAGTCACTAGGCACCTATTCGTCTGGACGTATGTTCATACTGGCAACTGGGGCTATGAACTGGGGTCTTGTGCTCGCTGGGGAGGTGCCTCTCTTCTTGAGGCACACCCTACCCTTTGGATTTATTTTTCAGCTAGGATTTCCACCTTTGCCTAGGCTAACCTTGGACTCCAATTCTCCTAACTCTGCCTCCTATATCTCTAGCTAAATTGTAGGTGTGAGCTGCTGTGCACAGCCCATTTTATACATGTGTACTGTTATTATAGAGGGGATGTACAGAGGGATTACAATGGCATGCATGAGTCAGAGAATGAGGACATTTCCTTTTGTACAGAGTGTCTGCTGTTCTCTCATTCCCTCCCAGCCCCTCCCTCCCATCTCGACCCACCAGTTGTTCAGTTTACTTTCATCCGTGTCCTGTGAGCTCCATGGATGCACTTTTATTTTCTATCCTTTTTCTCTCCCTGGACCCTCCCAGAGATAACACAATAACAGACTCTTTATCAGATATAGAACACAGAAGTATCAAAAGCTAAAACATATATATATATATATATATATATTTTTTTTTTGTTTCTACATCTTGGGTTTTGTTTTAGTATGTGTAATATTTTATATAAATATGAAGAGACGCTTAGGCATTGGGCCTTTGTGATTCTCTCCTAAGACTATTTTTCTTTGGTCTCACTGTGTGTGAGTCTCTGTAATCCTGTGGCATTTGTCATATCCCAGTGCATTTTAGATCTAACTTCCTTATATCAGAGAGAACATGCACCATTAGTCTCCAGTCTTGACATACCTCACTTCACATGATTTGTTCTAGTTCCATCCATTTCCCTGCAAATGACATTATTTTATTCTTTCTAATGACTCTGTAAAGTTCCATTGTCCACATTTTGTGGGTCCTCTCATCTACTGTGGGACATCTGGGCTGTTTCCGTATCTTGGCTATTGTGAGTAGTGTGGCAGTGAATATGGTTGTGCAGGTGTCCTTGTCATGATGCTCAGTGTAGATGCCCAGGAGTGGGTGGTAGAGAAGGTCTGTGTGTAGTATTTGGAGGAACCTGCAGACTGCTGTGCTGAGTGGCTGAACTAGTTCAAATTCCCACCAGCTGCACAGTAGGGCTCCTTTTCTCCACATCCCCGCCAGCATTTGTTCCAATTGACAATGCTGGCCAATCTAACTGGATTAAGATGGAATCTCAGGGTTGTTGTGATTGTACTTCCTTCATGCCCAGAGATGATGAGCATTTCCTCTTGTGTTTTTTTGCCATTCTTCCCTCTTCTGAGGAGTCTCTCATTAGCTCCCCTGCCCATTTAGTGACTCAGCCCACTATATTTTAGTATAAATGTAAAAGCGGTAGACACTGCATCGCTGGCATGTTTTTGGATCAGGTCACAGAAAGCCCCACTTGGGATGATATGAACTAAGGTCTGTGGTTTCTGCGCACGCTGCTGGGGACGAGGCCTGGCTCTGGGGAGAGCAGCCTGCCTAGTCTCCACACCTCTGCACTGCTTCTCCCTAGATTTTGGCCTCAGTAGCTAAGAGAGGCTGCCAGACCCCCTTTCGCTCCATATCCTCCGCTTTTCCCTGGTTGTGGGTTTACAGCTCCAGAAAGCAGTGGGGCCTGAGATCACCAAGACAGACCTGGTGCCCGCCTTCCAGAACCTGATGAAGGACTGCGAGGCCGAGGTGAGGGCCGCGGCCTCTCACAAGGTGAAAGGTGGGTGCCCGTGACCCATGCTTGAGGAGGGTAGCTCAGGGTGGAGGTGCAGCCGGCTCCATCTCATCCCACACCCTGGCCCGCAGAGTTCTGCGAGAACCTCTCTTCGGATTGTCGGGAGAACGTGATCATGACCCAGATCTTGCCGTGCATCAAGGTAACCAGTTTGGTGGAGGGAGTCAGCTGGGCATGAAAGAGGGCACAGAACAGGTTGTAGAAATGCCCCAGGCAGCTGGGTCACAGGCTGCAGCTAAGGAGATGGAGGCATGGACCCTGCAGCCCACCCTCATGCCCCTGCCAATCATGTTCAGAGGAGGCTGAGGCAGGTCCCCCGGGGCCTCCCTTCCTTGTCCCTCCCAGGAACTGGTGTCAGATGCCAACCAGCATGTGAAGTCCGCCCTGGCCTCCGTCATCATGGGTCTCTCTCCCATCCTGGGCAAAGACAACACCATCGAGCACCTCTTGCCCCTCTTCCTGGCACAGCTGAAGGACGAGGTGAATCTCCCCTCCCCCAGTCTCCCACCCAGGTGATCAATCACCATCCCGGAGTCCATTGGGGATCCCCCGGGCCAGGTTGGGGCTGGGGCAGTGGCACTGGGGAGATGGCAGGTCTGTAGGGTATTGCTGTGGGGTGGCACTCCCCTCCCCCCATTCTGGGCCGCCTTGGGCCAGGCATCACAGGACCCCCATCCTCTGCAGTGCCCGGAGGTGCGGCTGAACATAATCTCCAACCTGGACTGCGTGAATGAGGTGATCGGCATCCGGCAGCTGTCCCAGTCGCTGCTGCCCGCCATCGTGGAGCTAGCCGAGGATGCCAAGTGGCGGGTGCGGCTGGCCATCATCGAGTATATGCCCCTGCTGGCTGGGCAGCTGGTGTGTGATCCAGGGCATGCCGGGTAGGGCGGGGAGGGGAGAGGAGGGTAGCTGGCCTTCCTCACCCTTGGAGTCCTCACCACCTCTCTCCTCTGGCAGGGAGTGGAATTCTTTGATGAGAAACTCAACTCGTTATGCATGGCGTGGCTGGTGGACCATGGTGAGTCCTGCCAGAAGGAGATGGCAGTGGGTGAGGCCACCCCACTGTTCTGTCTGTGCCCTGCCCCCCACTGTTGGAACCCTGGGGAAGGCTGGCTCTGAGCCATGACCCACTTTAAAACTCCCCCATGGCCTTCCTGTCCCCATTGCAGTCTATGCCATCCGTGAGGCAGCCACCAGCAACCTCAAAAAGCTGGTGGAGAAGTTCGGGAAGGAGTGGGCACATGCCACCATCATCCCCAAGGTGCTGGCCATGTCTGGAGACCCCAACTACCTGCACCGCATGACTACCCTCTTCTGCATAAACGTGAGTGGGGCCGCGCCACACCTGAGCCCAAGAGCCGTCTTGCCAGGGGAGGGGCACGCATGGTCCCCCCTGGACACCAAGCTTGCGAGTAGAGAGGCCGGAGGCCAGGGCCAGCGGTACACATCTGGAGCTGGGCAGGTTCCAGGCCTCCGGCACCCTTGACCTGGGCGTGGGTGAGCTGGTGTGAGACACACCTTTGGCTGTGTGTTCAGACTTGAGCTTGTTGTAAATCGTAATCACGGGGAGATGGTGTCAATTGTGTGCTCCGTTTGGATGCCAGTGAGGGTTGGCGTAGCCTCGCCACCCGGGCCCAGGTCCTAGGTGCTGACTGTACTGATCGTGTGCCCGTGTTTGGCCAGGTTCTGTCTGAGGTGTGCGGGCAGGACATCACCACCAAGCACATGCTGCCCACTGTTGTGCGCATGGCAGGGGACCCCGTTGCCAATGTACGCTTCAATGTGGCCAAGTCCTTGCAGAAGATCGGGCCCATCCTCGACAACAGGTGAGCTGGGACTCGCTGTTCTTATGCTCCTCTCCAAGCTACACTGTTTCTTCCTTTGTGGTAATACTGAGGGTTGACCTCGTAGGCAAGCATTCTGTCACTTGAGCCATGCCCCCAGTGCTTTTTGCCTTTGTTATATTTCACAGAGTGCATGTGTAGGCCCAGGCTGCCTGGTCTGTGCATGCTGCTCACACTGCTAAAATAACGTGTGCCACGACGCCCAGCTATTGCTAGGGCTTCCTCAGTGGCTGAGATTCCAGATGTGCACCACTGTGTTCAGCTGCCACTGCTCCCTGTTGCTTCCTCCCAGTGTCGGCTTCACTGTAGACTGAGGAGTCGGCAGTGGCGGTGGCGAGCCTTATGTGGAGGGGTGTGAAGGGAAGGGAGGTGAGGGGTGGCTCAGCATTTCTGGCGATCTGGCGATGCAAGGGGGTGGCCAGGCCTGAACTGAGTTCCCAGCTGTGGGCCCCCATCGCTTCATGCTCCAGTCCTTTTCCCTCTGCTTCCAGCACCCTGCAGAGTGAGGTCAAGCCGGTCCTGGAGAAGCTGACCCAGGACCAGGATGTGGATGTCAAGTACTTTGCCCAGGAGGCCTTGACTGGTGCGGGCTGCGGGTGGGCGGGCAGTGGCAGGAGGGAGGGGTGGTAGTGCCTTGGCAGGGGCCTGGGATGGCTAGAGGGTGGCAGTGCCCAGTCAGTGACTGGAGGGGCCAGACATGCGGGTGGATGGGGAGAGGGTGGTGGGGCCTGGGCAGGGGCCCAAGAGGGCCAAGCTGGGCTTCTGAGCTGGCCCATTCCTGTTCTTTCAGTTCTGTCTCTTGCCTGATGCTGGATGAAGAGCCAGTGCTTGGGCCTCCAGTGCCTGGCCTCTGGCCCACCCTTGGCTCAGCCGTACCTGAGCTCCTCCCTCATGGAGCCAGTGAGTCGCTGACAGCCCTCCCTGTGCATGGCCTGATCCCAGACCTGGCCCCACGCACGTTCCTTGAGCCGCCTGGGGAGATGGCGCCTGGCCCCCTCCCAAAGGCTGAGGGACACGCGGTGGGATGGACAGCAGCCAGGAGGAGGGCGCCACTTCTGCCCTGTAGGGAGAGACGCGAGCATCCTGGTCACTGCCTCTTGCTGCTGAGATGGGGACCCCATCCCCACCTCCCTCCCACCTCCCTCCTCTTCCCTCCCCCCACCTCCCACCCCGGTGGTTTATTTGTGTCAACTGTACTGTTTATATTTTATTCCTTTTTTCCCTCTTTTCACAAAGAAATAAAGGTGTAGAAACAGTTGGCCCTCAGGTCTTAGTGGGGGTTGGTGGGAATGTCTTGGGACGTTGGTCTCTGCCCATTTCTGTGAGGAGACTTAGTCCTAAGCACTCACACTGAGTGTCCTGACCCCTAGGCATGCTGCCTGCTGTGGCAGAGCTGGCCAAGGACCTGGGCTGCCTGCAGAGGCCCTACTGTTCACATCCTCCTATTATTCACATCCTCCTACTGCTCAAGTCCTCTTACTGTTCACTGAGCCACACCCCTGCCCTGGGAAGATCATCCATTTTTTTTGATGAGCACATAGTATTGTATCAAAGCCTGGGTGTCCACTGGGTACTGCAAGCATGCCCAAGGCCCCTGTGGTAGAGGACATCACTGTGAGTCTCCTTTACAGCTTTATGTCATTTTTTCTTTTTTTGGTTACTCGTGTGGATTGAACTCTAGTCCTGGCTGCTGTGCCACAGCTCTTCAACTGAGGGCGAGCACTCTACCACCTGAGCCACAGCATCACTTCTGGTTTTCTGGTGGTTTATTGGAGATAAGAGCTCAAGGACTTTCTTGTCTTGGCTGGCTTTGAACCATGATCCTCATATGTCAGCCTTCTGAGTAGCTAGGATGACAGGAGTGAGCCACTGGCTCGCAGCTAGGTTTGTGTCTTTTAAAGTCTGGATTCCACCTGGAAAAAACATATTTACGTTTTTTGTCTGGCTTGTTTTCCTTCCCAAGATCTATGGTGAATTCCAGTTCCATCCATTTTCCTGCAGATGCCAAGCTTTGTTCTTATGGAAAGTTGTTTTTTAGCAGAACAGACAAATATATGAGATAGAAAGGAGTAGACAGCAATAGATATTATATTAAAAATTTGGAGCTATTTGGTGGTGGGGAATTGTTGTACAACATAAAGCTGACAGTATTTTCTGAATCTGTATATACCTGCCTGAACTGTAAAGCAGTGACCCGGCTCTACCCTGTGCCTGTCAGCCAGGAGGGAGAGCTGGCCCGGCCCAGTTATAAACCAACACTGTATAGAGATGACAAAACTGAAAGTTCTGGGTGGAAAACTGTCCCAAGCAAATGGGAACTGACCTGAAAGGAAGCCCCAGTTGCTTGTCCCACGAGAGCAGGGGACACATCAAACCCAAGTTAGGCTGATGAGATAAAGACCGTTAACTTCTGCTGACAGACAGCGAGCCAGCACACAGATGTCTACTGCTGCCCTGGTTTCATGAACTAGTACTACTGGATGCCATGGATCTGTAAGTTCAGGCCAAGTTAGAAAGTTGGCTTAAGACCCCTCATCAAGTGATAGGCTGTTGAGCTCAAAGTCAGCCATAAGACTTAAGCTTCAAATGAAGGAACAAGTTTACAAATTCAAGAATCAAAACCATATGGCAACTTTCCAGAAACTGGGATGCAGCAAAAGCTTCTCAGGGAATTTACAGCTATGTGGGCCGGGCATGAAACCAGTCAGGTGTCTCAAATGCAATCAACGATGAAGCACAGTCTAAAAGCAAACCCCGAACAGTGGATAGAAAGATAATCATAAGGTCTGGGAAGGTGGCTCAGTGGTAGAGCACTTGGCTTGCATGACTGAGGCCCTGGGTTCAATTCCTCAGCACCACATAAGCAGGAAAAAAAAAGCTGGAAGTGGCGCTGTTCCTCAATTGGTGCTAGCCTTGAGCTGAAGAGCTGAGGGACAGTGTCCAGGCCCAGATTACAGGCCCCATGACTGGACTCCCCCCCACACCCTCAGAAAAGAAAGATAATCATAAAAATCAGCATAGAGCCAGCCAGGCACTGATGGCTGCTCACCACTAATCAGAGCTACTCTAGAAGCTCAGATCTTAGGATTGTGGTTCAAAGGCAGAAGAAATGTCCATGAGGCTTATTATCAATAAACTATCCCCAGAATGTACAAAGCAGGGCTGTGGCTCAAGTCGTAGCGCACTAACCTGGAGCTAAAGAAGCTTAGCAACAGTGCCCAGGCCCTGAGTTCAAGCCCTAGGACAGGCACACACATAAACACACACACACAGACACACACAAATCAGATAAAAATGAAAAAAATGGAGATGAACAATGTAAAATGAATGAGTGAAAGAAGCTGAGCGCTGGTGTATCACGCCTGTAATCTTAGCTACTCAGGAGGCTGAGATCTGAGGATCATGGTTCAAAGCCAGCCCAGGCAGGAAAGTCCATGAGACTCATCTCCAATAAACCACCTTAAAACTGGAAGTGGCGACTGTGGCTCAAGTGATAGAGTATTCGCCTTGAGCTGAAGAGCTGAGGGACAGTGCTCAGGCCCAGAGTTCAAGCCTCAGGACTGACAAAAAAAATTAAGCAAGGTAAGAACTTTCCTTGGGAAGATAGCTAAGACTGACAAGCCTTAATCCAAGAACAATGAAGACATCAACTAAGAAAACTAGAATATCATAACAGTTTAAATTCAAGTTGTCACTGGGAAGTATATTAGAAACTTAATCCAACACATTAAAAAACATACAAGAAATGGATTCACTTCTTTGCATGTTGGACCCATCAGGTTTGACACAAGATGATTTTCCTCACCTAACTATATCTGTAATCAAGCAGTAAATAGATTTACTGTCTGGTTCCACCAGGTGTTCAGAGTTACCACCAATGCCCCTCAGACAGGTTCAAAAACTAGGAAAGGAAGAATGCTACCAAACTCCTTCTCATACTAAAATGAGAACAGACTAGAGACAAGATCAGACACCTATTTCCTTGAAGAGCACAGATGTAAAATATTTCATAACATAACTGCAAGTAATTTCAACAATGCATTGAAAGATCATGCACCATGCCCACGTTACATTCCATCCAAATTTGCGAGTGTGGCTCAACCAGTCCTGGACAATTTGAAGAGTAAGACCCTGGACACCTGTGGCTTGCACCTGTCATCCTAGCTACTGAGGCTGAGATCTGAGGATCACAGTTCAAAGGCAGCCTGGGCAGAAAAGTCCAGGAGACTCTACAATTCCCTACCAGAAAACTGGAAGTGGCACTGAGCTCAAAGTGGTAGAGCGCTAGCCATGAGGAAAAGAGCTCAGGGACAGCACCCAGGCTCTGAGTTCAAGCCCCACTACTGATTTCCCACTGCCCCCCTCACTCCCCAAAAGTCATTATACCAAGGATCCATCTGCTTTAAAGGTTTCTCTGCCAAGGCACTATCAGCTTTAAGAAGAAGTGAGTAGTTAGGGATTTTAATGAAGTAGAAACAATGGGAAGGTAGATACAGTCTGGCAGGGACCTGACAAGGCAAAGTGTATGCAGTGTGCAATAGTGGCCACCATCATGCCAGGACTCGGGTGTGACCCAGGAACACAAGTCAGATGGCGCCTGTGCTAGGCGACAGTCAATGGTTGCTTCCAGATCTGACCTGGTGTGAGCGCTTCTCCCCCAAACCTCCCCAGGACTTTCTTGGCCCTTCTGGATTCTGCTGTTTTGATCACAATGGCAGCGATTCGCCAGACTGGTGGTTTTTTGAGGATGACGACCACAGTGTGGCTTGCTGTACCAGCAGGAGGCACACAAGGGGTGGGGCTTGAGCCCCTAAACTTAGGTTGGAGGGTGTGTTGGGGGGTAACTGACCTCCCAGGCGGTTCACAGGCTGAGTCGCACCTTTGTGTCACAACCCATTTTTTCTGGAAGGCTTTGTCAGGAGCTTCAAGTCATCCTCAGGAGTGAGAGGTGAGCGTGTCTCATCCCTCCTTCATATTGAGCATAGTCACCAGGTGCTGCTGTGAATGAAGCCAAGTCAGGAGCTGGCTGTGAGCTCTGGCTGGCAGCTGTGTGGCGGGGGAGCTGGAGTTGGGGTGTCCCGCCACCGAGTGGAAAGGACACAGGGAACAGGAAAGGGATTGTACAAGATGGTAGCGCAGAACTGAGGGTGCTCCGGAAGAAAGGAGGAGACAGCGATGGAGAGATGTCCTGAATATGTGAACTCTCCACAAGTAACGTGTTCAGGCAGGGCTGCATGTCAGCGTGACAACGGGAGGCTGTGCTTCCAGTGGACTGCAGGGGTGCATGGGGTGCAGAGCTTAACCTTGAGCTGAAGAGGTGAGGGAGAGACAGAGCCTAGGCCCAGAGTTCAAGCCCCATGGCCGAGCAAAGAAAAAAAAGAGGAAAAGCTCGTGGAGCGTTGCTGAGCGCTGTGGGGGAGGGGAAGCGCGGGGCGTGGCTTGTCTTGGATTTGGGTCAGGCTCAAGACAGAGTGTGAGGTGGGTGGAGGGTTGGGTGCTCCTGGGGAGCGGGTGCTGAGAGGGGGTGGGGTGGAGGCAGGGAAAGCTTGTGTCCCCTCAGAAGGCAGGGAGCTGATGGAGGAAGCTCGCTGACCCTAGATCAGGAGACTAAGTCCACATCCCTGCTCTCCGAGGTGACACAGTCAGGGAAGACCTCTGGGGACGGGAACATCAGGGGTCAGGAGAGGACCAGGTGTGTGTGAGGTTAATGATGACACCAGACAGCTCCCCAAGGAGCCCAGGACATGCATGTGCTGGGAGGAATGACTTTGGGTTGGATTAAGGGTGTGGGATGGGTACAGAATCTGGCTAGAGCAAGTGTGGGGGGAGGGAGTGCAAGGACTGCAAGGCCTGTGGTTCAAGCCTTTCTGTGGTGTGGTGGCTGTGGGAACTTCAGGATCAGGAGGAGGCACCTGGCTCAGAGCACAGAGTCCACTCAGCACCCCGCATAGTCCCTGGATGGCTCCTGGTGGCAGGCCTGCCATCTGCTTGCTTTCCTTTTCTGTGCTGGTCCCAGGACTTGAACTCGGGGCCTGGGTCCTATCCCTGAGCTTTTGTACTCAGGGCTGGTGACTGTCCCTGGGGCATCAGCGCTACTTCTGGCTTGCTGTCACCCTGCAATTCATTACTGAGAAGAAAAGGGTGGCGGTGGAGAGCCCTAGACTGGAGGGCCCTGCCAGTCATTCAGCACAGCAGTCCTGACCTGCACCCCAGAGGCTGTGGTAAAGTGACCTCATCACAAGGGACATGAGGAGC